AAAAAAAAAAGTTTCTTCCATAAAGAAGATACAACATATGTTAAACTTTATGTACCATACAATATAGCAGCAAGATACATAAGGCAAAAACTCTTAGAAAGAAAAGGTTGATAAAAACAAGACTTTAACAAACTTAGCTAAGATTTGACACATTAGTTAGACAAAAGTATATGAAGGATGTAAAGTAATTGAAACAAATGAGCAAACTTAGGAGACAAATGTAGAGTTGTATGCCTTACAAATAGAATATGCATTCTTCTCATATAAGCTATGCAAAAATTGATGTTTTTGGCTCTAGAAGAAAGGTTAATAGATTCTAAAAAGTAAATAACTTACCACTGTATTCTCTTACTATAATATAATAAAAGTAGAAACCAATCATTTCTGAATAACTCTCAGATAAATTAAATCATAAAAACCAGCATTATAGATGACTTAGCTTATATTCTGATTGAAATTTTAAATATCAATGAAACTTGGACCATCACTGAGTACCCTAGATGACCAATTGGGATCCATTAGCATGGTGACAGGATGGAAAGATGGACTGAACCTAACACCCATAAAATCGAACAGAATTACATTTGAGGTCTTGCTCTATGTCCAAGAAGTCAATGACGGAAGCACAAGGTGGGGGAGTTATGATTCAGTAGCACCATCCTTAAAACAAAACAATCAGACCTAAGTTTTTGAGGCTTGAGTTGACAAATGGGTTCAGCATTCATCAACTATGATGTGGCTGCCAAAAACAAGTTAATGAGATTTCAGGCTGCATGAATAGATAGGCAACTTCTCAAACAAGGAAGGCAACAGTCAACTCTAATCTGCACCGATCAGATTCATACACGGGGCATTCAGTTAAGAGCTCCATGGCTTAAGAACAATCAGTAAAACCCACTCAGAGAAGAGTGAGGGGAACTTAAAGGGAATTAACCACCAAAAAAAAAAAAGTCCACACGAGATACAATTAGAGGAAGTGGAGAGACTTCGCCTGAACCCAAGGCAACTCCTTGAAGTCGCTGATGCTGCTCTTAAATAGATGAAGGACTTTCAGACAGAAGAGGGTTAGGGTTATGGAAAGACACAATCCTGTCAACCAGAATGCTCCAAAGATGAAAAACCTGTTTAAAGAGACAGCAAGTCCCCTATCACTGGAGGCATTTGGGGTAAATACTTGATTTGGTGGTTGTGACGAGAATTGTAATGCTGGAAAAATAGGTAGTTGGATCTGACAAACCTTCCAACCCTGAAATCCTTCAATTCCCATGGAATCTAGTGTTCCCTCAATATGGTCTATGAGCTTCTGAGTTTGGTACCCAAAGTCATAAATTGAGTTTTACAGGGTTTGGGCACCAACATTTGGAGCACAGGCCTTGTGGGTGACATAAATGTCTGAGTTTTCACAAACGGGTTGAGACACTGTGAGCCCAAATGAAACCGTTGTTCAGGAGTATTTGAAATGGAAAGGAAAATGGCCAAATGAAGGCACATGCTGCCATCAGAGTTCAGAGGAGGTGTCAGTGATGGTTGGAATAAATGGGGAAATCCTCACAGAGAGGACTTGGACGTCTGTTTGTGTGCATTAGGCAATATGCGTGAGTTTAGAAACTGTGGCAACAAAGATGTATGTGATACACAAATGTGATGAGTTGTCTCTTTCCTTTGATAGCGGAATATGCTGAGCTTTGCTGGGAAGCCACTTGCCCTATGCGCAGACCTTTGCGGAGTGCCTCTGGCCACCACCACCACTGCCTTCACGGCCACTGGGGGCTCCTGCAGACGCTGGCTCCTGCCGGCCCCGGTCAGGTACAGCCTGCGTCTCTAGTGGATCAGCCTGACAGGAGTTGTTGTTAACTAAGCTCTTTCTTTCATCTTCCTGATGAACTGAGTCTTTCCAGACCCAGCAGCCCTTTTAACCTTGGAACCAAGGCTCTCTTCCGCCTGGGGAGCATTGCCCCGTGACCTCCACAGTCCATGATCATAATTACGATAATAAATAAATAATCTTCGGGCTGGGCGCGGTGGCCCATGCTTGTAATCCCAGCACTTTGGGAGGCTGAGGTGCAGGGATCGCTTGAGGCCAGGAGTTCAAGACCAGCGTGGGCAGCATAGTGAGACTCCATCTCTACAAGGAATCAAAAATATTAGCCATGTGTGGTGGCATGTGCCTGTAGTCCCAGCTACTAGGGAGGATGAGGAGGAAAGACTGCCTGAGCCTGGGAGGTCGAGGCTGCGACGAGCTGTGATCATGCCACTGCACTCCAGCCTGGATGACAGAGTGAGACCCCAATTCAAAAACAATAAATAAATAATCCCTTACATGTATTTAGGGCTCTGTGGCTCTGAGTGCTTTTCACCAGCACTCTCTGATTTGTTCCCCATGACAATGCTGGTGGGACCATGGGGCAGGTGTTCTCGTGGGACGGCAGGGGTCAGAGCACTCGCTCAAGGTCACACTGAGGAGGTGAGCTGGTTCAAGGGTCGGAATGCAGGTCTCCTGATCCTGGGGCTAGTTTCATTGATGGGATTGGTGCAAACAGCACCCTCGGGCTCCCATTGCTGGGACTGATGCATTCTGACTCAGCGGTGCCCTAAAGTCTGGGGAGTCTCCCCTGAGGCCAGCATTCCCAAAGACTTTGTTCTGGGTATGACTCTGTTGGGTTCAGGATCTCTGATGTCCCCTGGAGTCCCAGGGCCTCTCTGCAGTAGACCTCGCCTTTGTGAGTGAGGGCTGGGAGGAAGCACCATTCAGAGGCTTCGCCTGTCTTTCTGCCCAGTTGTTTTTTCGTGATTTATAAAATAATTTAATTCATGATTTGCAAACTGATGTGTGAGCATGAAGGACCCAGAGTGTATTAATTTGATCAAATAAAACTTAGAGCAAAGTTAATATAACACATCTAATGCTTTTATCGAATGAGCGCCCTGTATGGTTATTAGGCATACATAGTAAGCAGTTTATGTGAATGACTGTAATTAGTATTGCTTTAGCAAGGCCAAATCAAGTTTTAAGTTTTTCTCATCTCACTGTATGAGTTCTCTGGTATTTATATAGATAGAATCTCCGTCTAAATCTTTCCTTGATACTGCTTGCCTTTTAGCATCTGAATTTCTCCAAATGCAGGAAGATAATTCCAGGGGCCAAGAGAAAAGCATCTTACTTTCTGAGAGTTCCTCCTGTGCCTATTTCTGTTCCGAAGTGTCCCTATCCAACAGCACATACCTTTTTTCCTTACTTTTCCTCCAAGATTTTCTTTTAGCTGAGAGCAGAAGTCACAACCCCAAACTGTCATCGAAAAGAGATTTCTTACACTTACAAAATGTCAAGGATGCCGAACACATTCATAGAGACAGGGCCCTCAATCGGGGAGGTCTTGGAGCTCTGTCACCTTCTGAGTGGCACACCCTAGGACCATCGTCGTACAGTTGCCCAAAGTCAAGTTTCTGGTCTTAAGGGTACAACTAAGAAAGAGGCGGTGGTGTGTGATGCATGACCCTGACCATGGAGTCTCACACCAGTTTCCTTGTCTGGATCAGGTTTGTGGTTTCTGTAGAACTGGAAGGATGCCAGTCAAAATGGCTCCTGGTCATTGCCCACCTGTGCAAGGTGAAAACGCTTCACTGGCAGGTGGCAAGTGGTGAAGGGCAGTGACTGGGCTGGGGCAAAGCCTCAGGCAGCAGAGAAGACTGGGTTCGAGTCCCAAGTGGTCATGGGAGGTAGGCGTTAAAATGACAGAGGGCTCAGAAGAATGAACACTTTCCCATTCTTTATGTTTTGTTCAGAAATCTCCTCAGTACCTCTTAGAACTGAGAACCAGCACTGTTTCCCCAACAATTGAAGTCTCTTGAAAAAAGGACAGGGTGGGCTTGTCATCATTTAGAGTTTAGAATGGCAGGGGCCAACATTTCAGGGGTGTGTGAGTGTTGCGTGCTCAAAACAGGCGGTGAGGGCCACAGCCTCAACTTATTCACAGAGCCTGGAGTTTCCTTAACAGGAGGGAGAGAGGACAGGGAGTGGTCAGAGAAAAGGTATAAAAAGCACAGTTGCCTGGGAATGTTAACGCTTTGGTGTGATAACTTCCGGTTTTCCTTTAAGTGCTAACACCAGAACCTTCCTGTTCGAATCTGGAGGGACTTTAGAAGGCGTGTCTATTATGGGGAGACAAAGGGGTCACCCCTGGAGATGACGTACAGCCTTGTCCCCATAGTTGTATTTGTCCTCATCTCTATATGGGAACGGAGTGCCTGGACACTCACTTCCGGTCCAGTGGAGGATCTTCTGAGCGGGGAGAGGATGCCGAGAGGGAGAGTGAGAACAGACATCTCGTTGTCAATGCCATTCTCTAACCAGCCTGGCCCTTCTCACACTCCCTGCGGCCCTGTGCCTGAGATGGCACGGACACCTAGACGGCGTGTCCTTTCTTTGTGGTGGGGCGTGGTCGCTGTTGCTGTCACCATCGTGGAATCCCTTGAGATCCTTATGAGAAGCGCGGATGGCATGAACCCAAGCACGCCATGTCAAGGAGGGTCCTCAGAGCGTGCAGTGTCAGACAGTGCCGGTATAGACAGTGGAGAGAGAAAAAGCATCTGAGCAAGGGTAAGGTTAACCAGGAAACGGAACAGGGAAGAAACCCACACCACATAGCATCATACCGTCTACAGACTTGAGGCAGAGGCCAGCAACTCTGTTGGAACAAAGCAGAAGGAAGGTAGATGGGAGGAGGGAAGCTTCGCTGGGAGGATACGGGTCCATGGGAGTGATGGCTGGGAGATGGGAGGAGGAGAGGCCCAGGTCCAGCTGGGCCTCCGAGGTCTGCACCCCGTCAGGTCAGCTGGCCCCGAGAGACTGACCCCGTGGCCTTGGCCGGCCTGGCCCATGCAGACACCCCCAAACTTGCAGCCCAGAGGGGGTGCTGGTGCCTGAGCCCCAGGGGCTGTCCCCCTGGGATGGGGGAACCTCACTGCAGACCCCATCAGCCTCTCCTTTTGCTACTCTGTAGGAAAATTGCTGCTTATGATGAAGAGATCCGGCATCTCTACGAGGAGATGGAACAACAAATTAAAAGCGAGAAGGAGCAGTTTCTCCTGAAGGTAGGCGTGCACTCCCAGGCTTGCCTCTGAGGGCCAGGCTGACATATCCGCTCTGACTACTGTTCCCAATTTAAGACTGCCCCCACCCATGGCACTAGAGAGTTCCACTGTCTCTGCTTTATTCTTTTCTCAGGGCATTTGTCACTTTCACACCTGACATGTAAGATTGTTTTCTGTCTCTTCCTCCTATTAAGCTCCCCAGGAGCAGGGATCTTTATCTGTTACTTACTAAGGTCTCCTCATCACCTAGGCCATGCCTGGAACATCTAGGTACTCAACAAATATTTGTTGAATCAGTGAAGGAATGAACAAGCGAATGGATGGATGGATGGGTGGATGAAGGTGCATGTCTTTCTTGTTAAGTTGCGTCTGGCATTGGCTGGTCTCTAGACCTCTGTGGCAGGCCTGTCCAAACATACCAGTGCCGTCCACCCATGCCCAGCAGCTTCTTGAGTGGACAAGCATTCGAGCCCGCGCTGCCTGATCTTTTCCCTTAGACACCTGGAAAATTTACTAGCCAAGGAAAAGGAAATCCCACCCTCCCCAGATGCTATGGGGGGGAATGTGAGACCCCCAACCTTTGCCTCCACTCTGGCCCTTATCAGCCCCTTACCAAACCCTCCCAATCATCTTGGGAGGTAGGAATTGTGAAATCCTCTTTGGCAAGCTAAGTAGCATCCTTTTAGGAACATGTTCATTAAAAAAAAAAAAAAACCTACAGGGAACTCTCGATTATCCACTTCTGGACTAACCACTCGGTGGGATCTCAGCAGAAAAGCCTCTGTTCCTCCCTGTCACTCAGCCCTAAGCCTGGCTGTCGTCACAAGCCCTTCCCTTGAGCCAATGTTTAATTTTATGCAGCTTCGGATTATCCACACCACTGCTCCATGTATCACAAATGCCCTTCAAACTGAGAGGGAATGGAAATGCTTTCCAGCAAAATCCGGTCATGTTCTCCGGCTAGCACTTGGAACCTCCCCCTATCATTTTGTAGTCTTAAAACCTTCTGGCTACTCCGACCCGCAGCGTCGACCCGTGAGCATAGGGCAGACAGAACGCACACACGTCTCACCAACAGCCTCTGAAATCATTTCTGAGAACAGCAGCTCTTCCCCCCGGCCCCCACTTTATCCCAAACGACATCCTGCACAGAGAGCCCAAGCTCTGTGGGGCCTGGGTCATGACTACAGGTAGAAAGTGCTAACTAAAGAAAGAAGTGTTGCAGAAGCGAAAGCTGGACCGCGGTATGGGGGCGGGGGGTGGGCTGAGGTCAGAGGAAACCATTCAAGGACAGATCAGCCTCCCTGGAGGTGATCCGGCCCCATCTATCCCCATCTGCCTCCTCCCTTCTCAGCACCAAATGCCTTTGAAGCTCAGTATGTATGCCTTTTGCGCAAACACGGAAACTGCTAAGATGCCTTTGGCAGTGCAGTTAAGCCTTTAGGCACACAGGCGTTTGCCTGGCAGTGGAAGGAGGATCGCGTTGCCACGGTTTATGACATCATGGAAAAGTCTGCACCCTCTGACCAGGGTTTGGATTCTGGCTCTGCACTTGTCAGTCCGTTTGATCACGAGGAGAGCCTGTAATCATTGGCACCCTCCAACTCCAAGACACCAGCCGCCTTTGATGCTCTGTCCTGACAGGGGAAGTAAGACGCCCCACAGATCCACGGATGGGTGGCAGCATCCGCATGGGACGGGCTGGGACGCCCCTCTAGTGCCGTGTCCCTCGCCATCCACCCTGGGGGAGAGTATTCCATGCTCTGTGTTCCCAGCATACCTGCTCCCTGAGTTGTTTGTGGCACACCTGCTCCCTGAGCAGAGGCCAAGCCCCACGAGGCAGAGTTCCTAGTGCTGACTCTCTGGAAACCCATGTGGGGAGCGGAGCTGTCTGGTCAGATTCAACCTCCGCCATTCATGTTGAGATGGGGACATTGGCTGGGTGTGGTGGCTCGTGCCTGTCATCCCAGCACTTTGGGAGGCCAAGGCAGGGAGGAGCACTTGAGCCCAGGAGTTCAAGGCCAGCCTAGGCAACAAAGTAAGACCTCATCTCTGCAAAATATATATACATATATATATATATATAACTTATATATTATATACAATATATAGGCCAGGTTCAGTGACTCAGCTTATCATCCCAGCACTTTGGGAGGCCAGGGCAAGTGGATTGCCTGAACTCATGGGTTCAAGACCACCTGGACAACTTGGTGAGACCTCATCTCTACAATAAAATTAAAAATAGCTGGGTGTGGTAACACATGCCTGTAGTTCCGGCTACTCGGAAGGCTGAGGTGGAAGGATAGCCAGAGCCCAGCAGGTTGATGCTGGGGTGGCCGTGAGCATGTGTGTCACTGCACCCCAGCCTGGGCAAAGGAGTGAGACTCCAACTCAGAAAAATATATATGTATACACACACACACACACACACACACACACACACACACACACACACAAACACACACACAGATATATATTATTTATTTATTATTATATATATTTTTATTATTTGTATATATTGAATATATTTTTGTTATTTTTATATATTATTTATTAAGTATATATACATATAATAGCCTGGCTTGATGGTCCGTGCCTATAGTTCCAGCTACTCAGAAGGCTGAGGTGAAAGGATTGCCTGAACCCAGGAGGTCAAGGCTGCAGTAATTCGTGATTGTGCCACTGCACTCAAGCCTGGGTGACAGAGTGAGACCCTGACTCAAAAAAAAAAAAAAAAAGATAAGGGCAGCTCTCCCTGCGTTTTCCTGCCCATTCACTTGCCTGAGAGTGGGCAGAGGAGCCAGGTAGCGTCTATAGAGGAGACCCGGAGGAAGCATCCTGAGCCCTGGAACGGAGGTATCCAAAGGCGCTTGACCTGGGTGCAGCTGTGTCCACCACTCCGCTGTTGCCGCTGTCGGGCCGGGACACCCCTCCAGCGGGGCCTCCCTCGTTGTCCTCCCTGGGAGAAAGGATTCCAGATCATGCGGACCCTGGGGACCAGTGGTAGTGAGTCATGGTGTCATGAGGTCTCTTCTCTTATTGCACTTGTCCCCCTGTGCTGCCTTCAGGCAACTGGAGTGTCAGGGATGGCATGAGTGTTTTTCCTCCCATTGTGTGGAACAACAGAAATCGGCCATCCAGGAGAGTGAGGCAAGTCAGTTGGGTGAGGCCTGGTGTGGGACCCTCACTCTGCTCAGGGCAGCAGGCATTTGAAGCCCACACATTTCACGTGGCAGCGTGGTTAGGGCCTCAGCCTCTGGGTGGGGAAATAGTGACTGCATGGACCCACAAGAGGAGGAAGTGATGCCCTTGGGTTTCCAGAGTGCGGCCCGTTGAAGGGATTCGCTGGCAGTGCCCAGCATGGAACAGAATATCCAAGTCGGAAGGGTCTTCAAGGCCATCTTCCCCTCCCGCCCCCCGTTTACAGACGAGGACGCTGAGGCCTGAGATTCGAAGTCGGGCCCCTTTTCTCCCTGTTCGGCATCCCACTGCTGACACCGCCTCTTCTTTTTCTTTTTTTGGTGGGAAGGAAGGTGGGCAGTGCATGGTCACAGGACATTGTTGCCCTTGGTGGGAGTCTGCGTGGGGCCTCATGGCACACTTGGGCTTTCTCTGTCCCGGTGGGTCCTCTGTGGTGGGGCAGGTTGGTCACTGGAGCCCTGCAGTGTTGCGAGAAGAGCCCCCCAAAGATAGGCCCTGCTGTGAGTAGGTGCAGGTAGGGAAAAAGTCTGTAACCCAGGTGTGGCTGCATTTGGGTCCCGTGTGTCTCTGTTTCCCACTTGGCAGGACACGGAGAGGTTTCAGGCCCGCAGTCGGGAGCTGGAGCAGAAACTGTTATCGAAGGAGCAGGAACTGGAGCAGCTCATCCAGAAGCAGAAAAGGGTACGTGGTCGTCCGTGTCCTCAGAGCGCCCGGCTGGCCATCCCGTCCTTCCCTCTGACCTGCACTCACTTGTCCTGCCATTCAGTTAGGACTTTTGGGTTTCAAATCTGAGGAGAACCCATTTACTGCACAAAAGATAGCATTTAAAATCACAGGCGATCCCAAGATAAGGCCTCGACTTCTTCAATGCCAGGTGTTTAACTTGGAAGAGTTGCCAAACCTCCCCCCACCAGCTCTCTGCAGACATTTTCCTATAATTAGACCCAGGAGTCACCAGGATGCCACCCCCTGTATCACAAAGGAGGGAAAGATTGAGGAACAGGGGACATGGTCTACGCTAATGCTCCAGGATGGCCGTGGATGCCTCCAGCTGGAACAGGCTCTACAAAGGCCCGTCTTCCCCCTCCTTCCCACCCCCATCTGCACACAGGCCTGGGCCACGCACTTCAGCCTCCCCTGGGGCCTTTCTCGTAACCTCATAGAAAGGATGCAGACACCAGCCGCCCTGACGTCCTTGAGCCTCCAGGAGGCAGGCTGGGTGATGCATGCTGCAGGACGGTCCTCTGTGGCTGTGAACTCTTGGCTGAAGACCCCGGGAAGATTGACTATGCAGGCAAACCTCAGACCCAGCAGCCTCCTCTCCGTAGCAAGGGCTCGTGGGGGAGAGCGGCCAGGGTGACCCTGGCCTCCTGTTTTGATTTGCCTGGTGCTGGAAGGAATCCAACCCTAAACAGACCCAGACAGGTTGCTTCCATTTGAATCGAGAGGGCTATTTTGAGCAACACATTAAAATAAGATTGGAGGCCAGGTGCTGTGACTCACGCCTGTAATCCCAGCACTTAGGGAGGTCAAGGTGGGAGGGTTGCTTGAGGCCAGGAGTTCAAAACCAGCTGAGGCAACATAGTGAGACCTCGTCTCAAAAAAATAAAAATAAAAAAATTAGGCCTGGTGGCACCCACCTGTAATTCTACCTACTCAGGCGGCTAAGGTGGGAGGATCGCTTGAGCCCAGGAAGTCGAGGGTTTGGTGAGCCATGATCAAGCCACTGCACTCCAGCCTGGGCGACAGGGTGAGACTCCTATATATATATATATATTTTTTTTTTTTCTTTTTTTCTTGGAGACAACCCAATAGAGCTAGAGACTGTCCCATTGCCACTGCTGCCCAGACTGTGGATCTGTGGATTTGGGTTTCTTTCCTTCTCTCCTTCGGCAGCGAGATGATTTCCACCCTGCCACCTTCCCGTCCCCCGTCCACAGCTGTACCCTGCCTCCCCCACCCTTCCCCTTCCCCGCCGTGACGCACTAAGTTCTTACCAGTTAAACATCTCCCCCAGACGAATGATTGCCCCTCGACTTAATTACCACAGGCTCGCCTGATTACACGAGCACCTCTTGAGAACCCCACCGAATTCCCTGTCGCTTCTTCCCCCGCTTCCTGGTCACATTCACCGCGCTAAATTTATTATGATGCATGCACCTTGGTTTGATTCTTCCTCTGGCGAGAGAGTTGGAGGCTTTGTGGAGCATAATCACCAGCCCAGAAACAAACTGGTTATCAAAATGCAGGGTTTTCAGTGGCTTTAGGGACATGGAATAGGTCTGTGTTCTGTTTGACCTGCTTCAGTCATTCCCTAACAATCTCCAGGGCTTCTGGCTACCCTTAAAAGCCTTTTTAGATTAAAGGAACCAGAGTCAAGAGGAGAAAAGGGGATAAATAGACATTCTATCAGCATGCAAAACTGGAAAGGCTGGTTTAATGAAGAATGCCACTTAGCCAGTCTCCATCTCCATCAAGGACCAAGGAAGCGAAGGTGGCTTAAAGGACAGCGAGAGGCATTTAGATTAGGTCTCAAGACCATTCACACAGATGGCACTTCCTTTGCCAGCAGTCTTTTTATTTTTCCTCTTTAATTTTTATTTAAAATTGTGGGGTACAATCCAGGGCTAGGTATACAAATATTCACCGTGCAGGTACCCTTATCGATGAGGTGTGCCCCCCTTTCTCCAGGCAGATATCGACTACTGCCAATCCTGCCTCCCCACTCCACCCCTACCTTCCCTTCCTTTTCTTGTAGTAACATGGTAGTTGTTCAAGGTCCATTTATGAGTTGCCAGCGATCTTTTTGAACGGGGCAGCTCCCTCGGACTGTGTAGCGGTCCACTGTGGAGACAGGGGAGAGATGAGATGAGCCCCAAAGCTCCCTCCTCCTGCCAAGGTGCATATGTGTGATGGCAGGAGCCGGGTGATGCTGATTTCGGCTGGCAGGCGACGAGGGGTCGCAGCTCCTGCCCTCGGTGCGGGGAAAGCAAGGTGAGGCAGACAGGCCTGCCCGAGCGTGACAGCTGCGCGTCCATCTGCCACCGTTCCTTTGCAGCTGGAAGGCCAGTGCACAACCCTGCATAACGACAAGCACGAAACCAAGGCTGAGAACACCAAGCTGAAACTCACTAACCAGGAGCTGGCCCAGGAGCTGGAGCGGACCTCCCGGGAGCTGCAGGACGCCCAGCAGCAGCTAGAGAGCCTCCAGCAGGAGGCCTGTACGCTCCACCAGGAGAAGGAGATGTGAGTCCGGCTTTTGTCCGCTCCTCTGCTGTCCTCCAGCCCCAGCCTCCGCTGGGGACCTGTTCCTTCTCCTGTCCGCAACCCTGTCTCCAGGTCCGTGAAATGGGGATTTGGGTACGGTGCTCCCCGAGACCTCTTCTAACCCTCCTCTAGGTTTCTGACACCAGGAAGCAGGCCTGGATGGAGCCAAGCACTGCCTAGGGCTGACACGAGGTGTACAGCCCTGTTCTCGGAAAATGTGTTATGTGATGAGAAAGCCGTGTTAGTCTATCAACAAATATGAGGCAGTCTGAGTGCAAACGCTGAGGGAGCAGACAGACCACGGAGTGACTGTCATAGTGTAGAGACTTGGGCGGCCAAGGCAGACTAGAAGAAAGGAGGAAGGCTTCCGAGATCCTATGGGGGGGGAACCAAAAAAACCCGGAATTTATCTTTAAAAGTTGTGTTTATTCTTACACGTTTAAACTTCAGTCATCTTCAGAGGACTCTCCATCTAATGCAATACACCTATCAAGACACTTTTTCCGCGGCTCAAAATAGTTTTTGACTCATCGATTTTGATGCCATTTAGTGCTTCTGCCATTTTTTTGTTTCAGCTCTTCCACATCGGTAAGACTTTCCCTTTGAGGACTTTTTTCAGCCAGGGAAATTTTTAAAAAGTCACTCGTGAAAAGGTCAGGTGAATAGGGAGGGTGGGACACGGGGGGCATGCCGTTTTTGGGCAAAAACTGCCAACACTCAGCATAAACCACCCATCAGGAAATGGGCAAACGCATTGAAAGAATCTCCCAATAAACTCCTGAAGCCGAACGCAGCCTCTCACGATGCTAGCTGGTACCCCGATGCCCATGTGTTCCTAGAACTCTTAACTTAGCGGGAGAAGCCTGTGCTACAGAGGGCCTGCCCTCCAAAAGACAATTATGGTTTTTGTTGTCTCCCCCGCGTATAACGTCCAGGATATATAACAGTGCCCCAAAATCTTCATCTGGCTCTGTTCACTTTTTTTCCTGGATTAGACTGTGGGTGCAGTGGGAGAAACCCCACATCCAGGCTCAACTTGCCCATGGGCAGCTTCTGGTGTCCAGCTTGTGAGACGTAGGCACACCTGAAGAAGAATCGAGACTGGGTCTGCACCACAGGCCAGAGGAGTCACAGAGGCATCGGTCATTTGTCTTGTCTTGAGAGGCTTAGGTTTGGGGAACAAATGTGCTCCGAGGCTCAGGCCAGAGGAATCTCACATGTCCATGTGTTGGTTCGCTAATCCATCTTCATCGACTTACTCATTGGTCAGACGCTTACTGAAAATGATTTTGTGCTCGGCACTGTGTCGGGTGTTCAACAGGTCTCACTTAGGTCCCGAATTCGATGTCGTCTCATTTGACTTGAATGCATCCTGATAGGCCAGTACTGTAAATACGGTAAACCCTAATTATCTGTTATTACTATGGAGGAAGAAACTGAGATTTAGAGGTTTAGGTAGCTGTCCCAAGATGCTAAGTGCTAGATATACCTTGCTGACTCCTTCAAGAGAATTAATGAAACAGCCAGAAAATATCATCACAAGAGTAGGGCCGGCCATCATTTACTCATTCATTTGTTCATGTGTTCTTCATTTCTGCCTCCATTAATTCGGCAATAGTGGGTCTGGTCCTGAAAAGTAACAGGTGGCACTGAAGTTCTGATTCCAGGGAAAGAGTGAGTATCACCCGTGCTCGATGCTTTCCAGATGTTAATACTCCTTGTTTAAAAGTGAAGGCTCTGGTCAGGCTCGGTGGCTCAGTCTTTGGGAAGCCGAGGCAAGTGAATTGTCTGAGTCCGTGGGTTCAAGACCAGCCCGGGCAACTTGTCGAGACTTCATCTCTATAATAAATTAAAAAAAAAACAAAACTTAGCTGGGCATGGTAGCCCATGCCTGTTGTTCCGGCTGAGGTGGAAGGATCACCGGAGCCCAGCGGGTCGAGGCTGCAGTGGCCGAGAGCATGCCACTGCCCTCCAGCCTAGGCAATAGGGTGAAACTCTAACTCAAAAAAATGCCCTAGGTAAAATTCCCCATGCAAGCACACTTCTTCTCTTTCACCCCAGGCAATCAGTCCCAAATAATACAGGTCCCTCACATGGGCTAAGCTGGCAGAATAATTTTACTTAGACCTGTGGACTAAAATCTTGCCAGAGTGAAGGACTTCACTTTCTTTTTTTCTTTCTTTTTGTTGTTTTTTTTTTTTGAGCTGGAGTCTTACTCTGTCACCCAGGCTGCTGGAGGGCAGTGGCACACCTCTTTGGCCACCGCAGCCTCAACCTGCTGGGGTCTGGCAATCCTTCGGCCTCAGCCTTCCAAGTAGCCAGAACTACAGGCATGCACCACCACACCTGGCTAATTTTTAGATTTATTGTAGACAAGGTCTTGCCAAATTGCGCTGACTGGTCTCGAACCCACAAGCTCAGGCAATCCTCTCAACTCGGCCTCCCAAAGTGCTGGGATTATAGGCATTAGCCACCGCACCCGGCCTCTCCAGTTTCTTTAAAAAAAAAACAAAAAACAAAAAACTCCCAAGTATCTGACTTAAAATAAGTCAGATCCTTGGATGTCCGTTTGTGGAAGGACAGTGTATTTCATTGTAAACAAGCAAAATCAGTTCCTCCTCATTGAGAACGGGTCAACAAGGTGCAGGCATTTCGCTTTACAAACAGAATTAAGGACTCAGGCTCTTAAAATTCAATCAGGATCTAAGAGTAACAAACGTCTGAAGGCACAAGCATTAGAACAGCAATGGAAATAAACACCCAGTGCTGGAGTATCACATCCCAGCGTAAGGATTCAGAGCTTTCTGAAGCCTTATCTTAATTAACCAAGGCAGAGACACAGTCTCTGGAGGCTGGGAATTGAAAGGAAGGGAGGGAGGGAGGGCTGGGAGGAAGAATGCAACTCCAGAACCTTCCTGACTTGCTTTCAAGAGGTTTGCAGTGTCCTGTGCAGCTGGAAAGCATGCTGGGACCTGCCGCCCTCCCTCCCGCCCTGTCTCCATCTCTCCC